CTCTCTCGCTCCGGCCACACTCGCCTCCTTGCTCTGGGCCTTCACCCACACTACCGTATTCTCTTTGCCTGGGTCAAGCTTCCCGCAGATAACTGCTCGGTCCTCTCCCAAAGGTCACCTTCTCCTCAAGGCCTGTGCTGAGCCCCTAGGTGAGCCCTCACCTCCCCTCTCATCACATCCTCTCTCACTTCCTTCCCTCCCTGACATTTCCCCCCATCGCCATCGCCATCGCCACACAGGATTCTGTATACTGACGCATTGGGCCTGCTTGCCAGCTTTCTCTCCTCTCTAAAAGCAAAGCCGGGCTCAGAATTTCATCTGCACCCCCAGTTTCCAGAACTGCGCCTACCACACAGTCAAGTTCATAAAATATCTGTGATCACGAGGGAGCAAAGAGAAAGGGAGCAAGGAAAATGGCTTGGCACACTTAGAGTTCACTAGCCCCACCACGCGTGGCTCCGTGGTTGAGTGTCGACCTATGAACTAGGAGGTTGCAGTTCGATTCCCGGTCTGGGCACACGCTCGGGTTGAAGGCTCCATTCCCAGTGTGTGGAGTACAGGAGGCAGCCAATCAATGATTCTCATCCTGGATGTTTCTAACTCTCTCTGCCTTTCCCTTCCTCTCTGAAATCAATAAAGATACATATATTAAAAAAAAAAAAAAAAAAAAAAAAAAAAAGGAAAGAGCCCTTACTGATTTGGCTCAGTGGATAGAGTGTCAGCCTTTAGACTAAAGGGTCCCAGGTTCGATTCTGGTTAAGGGAATGTACCTTGGTTTTGGGTATATCCCCAGTAGGGGGTGTGCAGGAGGCAGCTGATCTATGTTTCTCTCTTATTAATGTTTCTAACTCTCTATCTCTCTCCCCTCCTCTCTGTAAAAAATATATTTTAAAAAAAGCTCAATAGACGAGGGTGAGTAACCATCATCCCAGATTGCCCCTAGACTGACAGCTCCTAAAACAAGGGACTTCCAGTGCTAAGGGACTTTCCAGGAAAGTCCCTTTGGCCATCCTATGTAGACAGCCAACCTCTTTTCATCTGAGACACAGGGACCAGACTCAGATCCCAGGACCGTCACAGACTCACTGTCTCCTCGTTTTGACAGTGACTCCAACGAAGTCAGCCTAGTGGGAGAGAGAACACAGAAATGCCAGCGCAAGATCGTACGGTTAAGTGGTTTGCAGTTGTCTGAGCGGCCACGCCAGGCATGCTGATTGATGGCCCGTGTCAGGCTGGTGGTGAGCCACAGCCCATGCCCACCCAGGTCTGCTCCGCAATCTGTCTGAGCCGGGGGTGGGGACGTGGAAGGCAGGACTGAATGGAGCAGTGGCATGCACTGGGGAGGGAACACTAACATGTACAGTAGTTAGGCTGGGTTTTGAAATCATCCTGATAGATGGAAATGATAGGCCTTACATAACATTTAAACAGAATTAAATTGTGCTTTCTATCGAGGGTTAAAAAAGCAACCCTCCATGTACAGAAGAGACCGGGGAAATAGCTATTTTGTTTGTTTTAAACGCAGCAGGTGTAGCTGCCTACATGCTCAGTCCAGTGTGAATGCTGACTTCAAATGCCACTTGGCCTGTGTTAATAGACAGAAGGGCATGGTCCCCGCCCTCCCGCCTGCTCACAGGCACCTGAGCACATGCCAGCTCCGAGCCGGGGCCAGGCGGCTCACTCCCATTCCCTTCGTGTCTAGTATTCTAGGAAACAGCCCCCCACCAAGTGCCTCTTTCTCCTCCCTGGCGGACTGTGTCCTCTCTGCTCCTGGCAGCCAACGCGCTTAGGATCGTGGTCGGCAAACTGCGGTTCGAGAGCCACATGCGGCTCTTTGGCTCCTTGAGTGTGGCTCTTCCACAAAATACCACGGCCTGGGCGAGTCGATTTTGAAAAAATGACATTAGAAGAAGTTTAAGTTAAAAAAAATTTGGCTCTCCAAAGAAATTTCAATCCTTGTCCTGTTGATATTTGGCTCTGTTGACTAATGAGTTTGCCGACCACTGGCTTAGGACATGGGGATCTGGTTGAGAGACAGGTTACGTCGCCATAACTGCCTTTCCTCCCCAGAAGAAGGGGTTCATTTGCAAGGACTCAAGCAGCTGCGGCTCCAGGGCACCCGGGAAGCAGCAGTGCAGCCAGACACTGGGTGTGCGGAGCCTGGGCACCGGAATGGACCCCCCTCCCCCAGGAGCTCCCCCCCACCCCCACTCCCCCAGAGCTTCCTCTCTGCAGCTGAGGTGTCCGAGGGAAAGGAAGGTAGCAAAGAGGCCTTCCACCTTCCAACCCAGGCTGGACGTCTGGCCTGCTCTGAGCTGGTGGGAGCTGAGGCCTCGGGCCTCCCGCTGTGCGTTGCTCACTGTCCAGATAGCTCCGCTGGGCCCAGGACTCCAAGGGGAGGTGTGGGGTGGCAGCAGGTGCTGACGGGAGGGGCTGCAGGGCTCCACAGGCTTCCCAGGGCTTCTGGGTGCTCACTTAGGGGAGCAAGAGCTTGAAGCTCTGTGCCAAGTGGGCCAATCCAGAAAGGCAGCAAAGAGAAGAGAGGGGAGGGGAGGGGAGAAGAGGGGAGGGGAAGGGAGGGGAGAGGAAGGGAGGAGAGTGGAAGGGAGGGGAGAGGAGGGGAAAGGAGGGGAGGGGAACAGAGGGGAGAGAAGGGGAAGGGAGAGAAGAGGAGAGTAGAGGAGGGGAAGGGGAAGGGAGGGAAGGGGAGGGGGAAGGGGAGAGGAAAGGAGGGGAGAAGGGAGGAGGGGTGAGGGGAGTTGAGGGGAAGGGAGGTATTGATTTTCAACTGCAGTTTTCCATGATCCGCAGAGGCCCTGCCCGCCTCCTCCCCACGTGCCTTCCGGACCATGGATGGCCAATAGGCTAGCTCCCAAGGCCAGCTCCAGTCAGTTGGCACAGCTGCCCAGAACATAGCTGTGGTGACTCCAACGCTCACCACGAGAGAACACCGGAGGCCACAGAGCCCTGGTTGTGGCGCCGGAAGGGGGCGGGAGCGTGTTTGCCGTCTCTGCTTGCCCACCTCCTCCACCCGGAGCACATCACCACCCCTGGGAGGAGCGCGTGCATGGAGCCTGCTGACCCGAGCAGCCCACCAGCGAAGTGGGAGGAGCAGAGGCCCCTCCCCCTCTCCCCTGGGAGCTTAGGGCAGGAGTGGAACGTTCTAGCCACGCCATGCTGGGTGGAGCCCTGAGGACCCCAAAGTGCAGCCCCCAGACCATCAGTATCACTTGAACGGCAGAGGCTTGGGTCCTGCCCAGGTCTAGGCCAGAGGCTCCTCGGGGAGTCTGGGGCGGGCCCCATCCCATGCTCAGCAGGCCCTGGTGACCGCAGCAGGCTGAGCTCGGGGGCAGGAGGCGTCTGGGAAGATCTGCAGAGAACCCTGCTCTCCTGTGCTCCCCCAGGGAGGAGCACTCCCCTCTGGCTGGGGAGAGGTGCTCTGTGTGGGTCCCGGGCCGATGCTCCGCCGCCTGGCCTGGCTTCCACAGTGCAGTCTCTGAGGCGTCTGCTGACATGTCTGGAGCACAGGGCCCTCAGGCCCACCTCCTGCTGCTTTTCAGTGCCAGGAGCTCCGTCACTTTCTCCAGACACTCCCAAAGGAGCACCGGGTCAGGGCCTCTTGCTCTGGAGCTGCCCCGCTGCCTGGCCCACGGCAGCCCCTCCCCTCGCCCCCGTGGCCTCTCATGTCCTCTTCACCCTTGGGCTTCGGAAGTCGATCTGTTTTTTGTTTTTTTTAAAAAAAATTCTGTGAAGGCAAACTAGGTTCCCTGCAAATTATACTGAAATGGACCGGAAAGATAAATGCACCGAGTTCATTGTCCCACGGCCCTCACCCCGCCCCCATCCCCTATCACCCCACCCAGGCTGCGGCCCCAGTGAGCCACGTTCTAGCTGTCTTGATGATTTGCGATTCTCGGCATGACTCTGCCCCTTGGGTTTGCTTAATTAGAAAGAGGCCCAGGAAGTGCTTCTTACGCACTGGCATGTTAATTGCTTATCAGAGAATGAGGAGGGGGTGACAGTGTTTGGTGATGGAAATTTCCACTCCCTCCATCTCTGGCTTTTCTCCCTTTCTCTCCCACCCTCCTCCTGGCCGCCCACCCATGCTTTCACCCTCTCATGTCAGCCTCTCGGCTCTTTGTCCCTCTTCCAGCTCCGAGGCTCAGTTACAGGACTGTCTAGGAAGCCAGGATTGAAAACTGAAGGGAAACCAGTGCCCTGGTTCCCCATTTCCCCTCCTTTTCTTTCTCCTCTTCTGTTCCCACCCCTCCCTCGCTCCCCTCTAGGCTTACAGGTATAACCCGGCCTCCCCTCCCAGCCCCACTCCGCAGAGAGTTCCAGTTTGTACTCAGGACTCAAAGGACTCTTTTCCTTTTGTCTCCTTTCCCTCCTTAGCATGTTTTTCTTATTTCGTTTTATTTTTTACAAAACAGGAGAAAAGAGCGAACTGGGTTGGGGGAGGTGACACATTCCTCCACCAAGGTACAAAATCGCCTATAGAAAGTCAGCCTCCGAGCGCGCACCATCCTGGCTGCCAGGGGGCGGCGGTCCTGGGCAGCCTCATCCTTCAGAGCAGGCTGGGTCAGCGGTGCCCACGCGGGAGGAAGGCCTCCTTCAGCCCTTGCCCTGGAGGGGGAAGAGCAAGCAACTGAGATTGAACAGAGAAACGGCAGAGGAGGGGCACATCCTAAGGGCCTGGGGACGCGGGCAGGGGACAGCCAGGCGCTGCCCAGGAAGGAGCCTCTGGGCATGTAGACAGCTGGGGAGGTGGGAGAGTCCTTCTGTCCCTGCAGATGCTCCTCCAAAAGGCAGCAGAGGAGCCCCCCGCAAGGCGAGGGCCGCGTTTTGGAGGCGGCGGGGAGCAGCCCCCAGGGCCACCATGCCCCGTCTGCCATGGCCCAGCTGTCCGGCCTTGGGGCCACGGGTCCATGTCACTTCCATGGCAGGGCGTCTGGCCCCGGTTTCCCTTTTGTTAGAAAGTAGTCCTTCTCCTCCTTTCTCTACGGCTGAGGACAGGCCGAGCTCCAGGGATCGTGAGACAAAGGTGGCGACAGGGTCTCTTCTCCTTCTAAGGACGCGGGCAGCTTCCTCCCCAGATTCCAGGGCCGGACGAGGGGTGCAGACACCACCCGGACCGAGGGGGCACCCCAGCCCCAGAAGGCCCAAGCTGGAAGGAGAGGCCGCCCGCCCACCCCCTGCCGGGGCTGGCCGGGGCCCCGGTGGGCGGCTCTGCCGGCGGTCAGCAGGAGGACAGCCAGGACCAGGACGGCCATGAGCCCGGGCCGGCCCCCTAAGGCCCGGTGGCAGGGAGCAGCCTCCTTAGTTCTCGCCCACACGCAGGCCACCTGGGTGTGGGCGTCGGCGAAGGCCACTCGCAGGCAGGCCCAGTACTCCGTGGCCTGAAGGAGGCGGGTGATGTTGTAGCTGTGGGTGCCCCGGGGCAGGCGGGCCAGAGCGGCGGCCCCCTGGCCCCGGGGGGCGGAGGCGGCGCTGGCCCAGGTGAGGTTGGCGGCCATGGTGTTGGGTGGGGGGACCCAAGAGAGCAGGATGCGATAGGGGTGGGTCTCCTGCACCCGGAGCTCCAGCCCCCACCCCGCCTTGTCCCGGCCTCGCTTCCGGGGAGCCCGGCCCACCTCCACACTGACCGTCTTGGTGTCGGCCCCCACCAGGTTCTGGGCCACGCAGGTGTACAGCCCCGCCTCGGCCGCCGTCACCCTCCGCAGCTCCAGGGTCCCCTCGGGGTGCACCCGGCGCCTCCTGCCCGCGCGGGCGTCCGCGGTCAGCCGGGCCCCCGCCGGCGTGACCCAGTAGACCTCGGGCTCCGGCTCGGCCAGCGCCCGGCAGTGCAGCACCAGGCTCTGCCCGGCGGCCACGCGGAGGCGGGGCGGGAAGCTGCGGGGCGAGATGAGGGGCAGGCAGCGGTCCGCCATCTCCCGGAAGGGCACCTCCCGCACCGGGCGGCGCTGCAGGTCGGGCGGCTCGGCGCACAGGGTGGACTGCGGCTCGATGAAGCGGACGCGGGTGCCGGTGGCGTTGGCCCAGCGGATGACGCAGTCGCAGCGGATGGGGTTGCCGTGGAGGCCCACCTCCTGCAGGTGGGGCAGGGACTCCACCGTCTGCCGGTGCAAGGCACTGAGCGCGTTGTTGTTGAGCATGAGGGTCTCCAGCCGGGGCAGGCGGTGGAAGGCGCGGGGGTGGACGAAGGACAGCCGGGGGTTGTTGGCGACGTCCAGCTTGGTCAGCTCGGGCAGGTTGACCAGGGCGAACTTGTCGATGGAGACCAGCTCCTCCATGTTGTTCAGGCCCAGCTCCTTGAGGTGCAGCATGTTGGCGAAGTCCCCCGGCCCCACCCGCTGCAGCGGGTTCTTGTTCAGGTCCAGGAACTTGAGCCCGGGCACCTGCTCCAGCGCCCGCCGGGGCACCCGGGCCAGCTGGTTGTCGTAGAAGGAGAGGCTCTCCAGGCTGCGCAGCCCCTCCAGGGCGTAGCTGGAGATCTCCCGGAGGCTCATGCCCGCCAGCACCAGGCTGCGCAGGCTGGCCAGCGGCCGGAAGCTCATGTCCAGGAGGGCGTCCACCTGGTTGCCCCCGATCATGAGGATCTCCAGGCTGGGCAGCGCCTCGAACCAGCGGCTGTCCACGGCCCGCAGCAGGTTGGAGTTGAGGTGCAGCCGCAGCAGGTTGCCGAGGCCGGCGAAGGCCCGGGGGGCGATGCGGCGCAGCTGGTTGTGGTTGAGATAGAGCTCCTGCAGGCCGGCCAGCCCCGCGAAGCTGTGGTCCTCCAGGCGGGTCAGCTGGTTCTCCTCCAGGTGCAGGCTCAGCAGCTGGGGCAGCGCCCGGAAGTCGCAGTCCCGGGCGTCGGAGAAGCTGTTCTGGGACAGGTCCAGCTCCGTGAGGTTGGCCAGGTAGCCGAGCTCGCTCCGGTCCACGCGGACGATGCCGTTGCTCTGCAGGAGCAGGGTCTGCGTGCCCGCGGGCAGCGCGGGGGGCACGGCCGTCAGGAACAGGTCGTTGCAGTCCACGGTGGTGGCCTCTCGGTAGGACGAGCGGGGCGTGTACCAGGGCCGGATCTGGCAGGCACACTGCGGGGGGCAGGGCACGCGCCAGGGGACCACGGGCACGGCCGCGGCGGCGGCGGCACCAGCCACCCACGCTAGCAGGAGGGCGGCCGCGAGGAACCTCATGGCGGAGCCGCGGGGGAGGGCACCATCCACAGGAAAAGTCTCAGGTCCTGCCCTTAGCGGTTCGCAGGCTGAGGGTCAGCAGCCTGCCAGGGCCTGGGGAGCCCCACTCCCAAGGCAGTCATGGGGGCCGGCTGGGCGTCACTTCCCGCCCTCCTGGGTGCGGCTCTCCATCCTTGCCCGAGGGGCCCGCTCACTCATCGCCATGCCCAGCAGGCAGCCCTGGAGAGGAGGAGGCAGAGTTAGGCAGGTGGAGAGAAGCAGAATCCATCCCTCCTCCCCGCTCCCTTGTCTGACTCAAGAGGCGTGCAGAGCTGAGCGGCTGGGTCTCCTGGGCCCCGTCCTGGATCGTAGGCTTTAGTGTCCCTTTCCAGGACCCGAAAGTGGGTGACTGGGAGGCTTCAGGGCAGGAGGAAGAGGTTGGGCCTTGGAAGCTTCCGGAAGACTCAGGTTGTCACCTTCAGAGTCCTCTGAGCCCAGAGAGAGGTGGGGTGGATTCTCCAACCTTTCTCCTCTCTCTCCATCCGCCCCCTGGGCTCCCTCGGTAAATGGAAAATGAAGGGAGCCTGCAGACGTCCCGAGTGCTCTGGGCAGAGGATGGTGCGGATTCTGCCTTCCAGTGTGGGCTCCCAGGACCGTCTAAGGCAGTGGCCGCTGACCCCACCCCAGACTGTCTGGGGAAGGCAATGGTCCTGCCTGAGGGCTGCTTACTCCTCCTGGGCGCCCGCCCTGCGCGGGAGAGCGGCGTGCCTGTTCATATCAGACTCCCTCCCTCCCACCTTCCTTGGCAGCCACCTGGGTGCATTTTGTCACGGTTGTTTTCCCAGCCAGGACTTATGTGGGCACTGACCCATAAAACTCAGGGCAAGCAAACACATGGGCACACGTGCACCTGCATACGTGAGCAAGGGGAGCCTGGGGGGCCCGGCCACCCCAGCCATGCCTGGTGGCCAGGATCAGGGGAGGGGGTTCTGCGGGACACACCGTGGGTGGAGAGGCAGCAGGGATAGCTGGTTCCCAAAGGGCCTTGTCATGGAACTGGATCCAGGCCAGAAGTCCCGCCCCCTGCCTACACCTGGCATGAGGGGCAGAACCCACCAGCAGGAAATCTTGCTGTTACACACACACCACCCCCACCAGAGGGCCGTGGGAACAGCTACTGACTCTGGGAGCACCTGTTCCTCATGTGTACATGAGGTTGTCATTAGGGGGAAGGGAACTGTGTTGCACATGGAAAGAGTTCAAGAAATGTTAGTTTCGCTGAAACCGGTTTGGCTCAGTGGATAGAACATCGGCCTGCGGACTGAAGGCTCCCAGGTTTGATTCCGATCAAGAGCATATACCTTGGTTGTAGGCACATCCCCGGTTGGGGATGTGCAGGAGGCAGCTGGTAGATGTTTCTCTCTCATCAATGTTTCTAGCTCTCCATCCCTCTCTCTTCCTCTCTGTAAAAAATAAAATAAATAAATTAAAAAAAAAGAAGAAAAGAAATGTTAGTTTCCTTCCAGCTCCATTCATCCCCCGGGGTTGGAAGGCCCTCTAACCAGGGCTTTTAGGAGGAACAGAAGTTGGATCCTAGAACTTGACAAGCCTCTACCATGTTTCCCCGAAAATAAGACATCCTCCGAAAATAAGACCCACTTACAGGTTTCCTTCTGAGTGAAATATAAGGCATCCCCCCAAAAATAAGCCCCCCCCCCTAGGCTAAACGTGAGAGATTTGGTCCACAGATTCTGAAAGAAATGGAGTCACAAGAAATTCACCAGGAAATCCAGAAATTGGATTGTTATGATGATGTTCCAGAAGACAATGACATGATTGTCATTGAATAAATAAGTAAATTCTTGATACTGTAGGATTCAGTTTGGTTTGTGTTGACAACTACCATACTACTGTACTATATACAGGTAATAAATTTCCTTTATTTTCATTTAACAATAAATGTGTACCGTATTCATCTTCATGGAAAAATAAGACATCCCCTGAAAATAAGACCTAGCACATCTTTGGGAGCAAAAATTAATATAAGACCCTGTCTTATTTTCGGGGAAACAGGGCATTATGGTATGCTTGCCAATGGTGAGCTTAGTGTTGCCCCAGGTGATGGGGAGGGGAGATGTGAGCAGAAATACACAATAGTATGCCCCACCTTCTAGGACTGCCTCTCTGGCAGCACCCAAAATGCAGTGATTGTGAGAGCCCAAGACCATTCATGGGCAGAGAGAAGGCTGGAGTGGGTGGGTGGGGAGGGTGCTGAGCCCCAGGCATCTCAGACCCTGCCTGAGTTCAGGGCGTCTCTCCTTTGTTCTAACAATTTTGTGATGGAGAAACCATTTAAAACAATTAAAACCGCCAAAACCGGTTTGGCTCAGTGGATAGAGTGTCAGCCTGTCAACTGAAAGGTCCTGGGTTCGATTCCGGTCAAGGGCATGTACCTTGGTTTCGGGCACATCCCCAGTGGGGGGTGTGCAGGAGGTAGCTGATTGATGTTTCTCTCTCATCGATGTTTCTAACTCTCTATCCCTCTCCTCTCTTAAAAATCAATAAAATATATTAAAAAAAAAAAAACCACAATGAAAACCCTCCAGCACCGGGCCAGCGCGGGCCTTTCCCTGCACCCCAGGCTGGGATGGGTGATTGAGGCAATGCTCCGGCCTCACCAGGAGGCCAGGCCCGGGGTGCAGCACCCAGAGAGAGAGGCAGGGGCCTGCTGACTCACCTCTGATCCCGAGACTTAGCAAAGGCCCGAAAAGCCTCCCATACCCCTGCTGAGCGTGCAGCCTGTCCAAGGTGGAGCTCAGAGCTGCCCACTCACCTGCCATCGCCATGCAAGGCTGCCTTGCACGCGGCTCACTCACGCAGGCTGATGAGCCCTTTCCGCCAGGAGCGCAGAGAAAGCTAATTGTCTCGTATCCATAATCTCCCGGGTGAGCAGGAGTTCAGGCTAATCACGTGTGCCTTTTCCAACGGGGTTCCAAACTCCCGGAGCAGGGGCCGGGTCTTACGTGCTGTTTGTGTCCCCACCGTGCGTGAGAGGGTACGTGTGAGTGGATACAGATAGAGAAACGTGTCATCTTCCCACAACCCTGCGTGTAGGCAGAGGAGGGATTTAGTCTCCCTTTGCAGGGAAAGCAACAGAGGCGCTGAGAGGTCAGCTGACTTGCCAGAGGTTACACAGCTTCTGTAGGCGGGGCCAGGATTCAGACCCAGATTTTTGACTCCATAACCTGAGCCGCCAGCCCGGCCCACGCTCCCTGCCCCATGGACCAATGCCTGTCTCATAGGAGCAGAGTGCAGGGCAGCCCAACATGCCCGCCCAGGTGCAGCTCCCTTCCGAGATGGCCTGGGTCCGAGCTCCTTCTCCCTGGCTACCCTCAGACGCCACGCCTAGGCTCCTGGCTACAGTGACCTACAGGCAGGACCGCAGAGGGAAGAATACTCTGTTGCCAGGTGAACGTGGCTGGGCCTGGAACCACAGGGCAGACAGCCAGCAGGCCTCACGCAGACTCCAGACTGCCTTCTGACTGGGGGCTGGGGCTCTTTGCCAGCACTGCTGCCCGAACGGCCTTCAGCTACGGGAGACAGAAGGCCCAGGGCCTACAGTCAGGGAAGCAGGGTTGCCCGCTCCGGAGACCAACCTTTCTCTTGGAAGGGCTGGCTCTGCAGGCCCCACCTGCCCCAGGCAGCTGCTCTGGACTGAGCAGAGTGTGGGCCTGGTTATTAAACGAAGCTCTAGAGACGCTGCTGTCAGGAGCCAGAGCTGCCCTTTCCTCCTCTCCGGCCCCGCCCCCGCCCCAGCACAGTCCCCGTGCTCCTGCCACATCTAAATTGCTGCTCCTCCAGCCGCTCACAGCCTCCCTCCCAGAAATCCCCCTCCCTGGCGCCTCCACCCCACCCCTGAGAGCTGGGGTACTGGAGGGAGGGGTGCGCGGCAGGCGGTGATCGATTGCCTGGCCTTCGCAGCGTCAGTGCCAGGCCCCCCTGAGCTGCGCAGACAGATGGGCAGCATAATTGAGTGGAGCGTTGATAAACTCCGGCTTCCTCGCTGGCAGATAAGCGCCGGGTGGAAGGGCTGCAGAGGGAGGGAAGCCATCTGTCCACCTGGCCTCTGCCCCTCCTGGGAGGTGAGCGCGGCCCTCACTCCCCCCTCTCATTTAATCACAGGCAACTAGGACCTCAGGGCTGGAGCAGGCCTCAGCGGGGGCACAGGCGGTGTCTGTCTCGTCTTGCAGAGCCTGAATTCCTTGCATGACTCATGCAGCGGGGGAGAGAGGTGAAGGGAGGGCCCTGGGCTTTGCAATCAGTGTGAACCTGGCTCTGCCCCTCGCTGTGTGACCTTGGGCAAAGTGGGTGATCCTCTGAACCTCAAACGCCCAGGCTGGGGTGTGGCTCACAGAATAGCTGTGGGCGTAAGGGAGATGCCATGCTTCTTAGTCCCTTCATTGGCCCCTGATCTTGCCTCTTATTCCATCTTCTCTTTCTTACTTCTCATCTCTCATCGTTTGTATTCAACCTTTAAAGACTATTATTGGGGCGTACTATTTGTCCAGGAGAGTGCACAAATAACACTAATTCTAAGGGCACAGCTGCATGAATGCCTACATTTGTGGATACCAGTTTAACTACCGCGGAGCTCAAGACAGAAATATTTCCAGCATTCTAGAAGGTTCTAGAAGGTTCTTGGAAAGGTTCCTTTCCAGTCTCTTCCCACCCCCGTCTGGTGTTAGCCACTGTCTTGACTTCTGTCCCCTAAACAAGTTTCATCTTTTTTGTTGTTGTTAATCCTCCCTCGAGGATATATTTTTCCCCCCATTGATTTTTAGAGAGAGTGGGACGGAGGAAGAGAGACAGAGAGAGAAACATTGATGTGAGAGAGACACATCAATTGGTTGCCTCCCTCATGTGCCCTCACTAGGGCCAGGGATTGAGCCTTCGACCAAGGTACGTCACCTTGACCTGAATCGAACAGGGGACCCTTCAGTCCCCAGGCCAGTCCTCTAACC